ATTTTTTTATACATTGAGTTATTTAAGGGTTTATATTTGAATAAATTGAATATATAACTTGTCAATGGTCGTGACACGTTGGAAATCTCAGTTTTCGTGTGATCATCTCTTTTCTTAAATAAAATTAAATAGAAATAAAACAAAATAAAATTGAAATAAAATAAATTAAATTTAAAAAGAACAACTAGTCTAGTAATATAGTTATATCAAACAACATTTGATAAAAATAAATGGAGAAAGAATTCATAAGAAAGAAGTTTCTTTTCGCTTATAGCGAATCATCCACTGTAGTTCATAAGAAACAAGTTTCTTTTCGCTTATAGCGAATCATCGACTGTAGTGGTTATATGGACAACGAGAATGTCGATGATTTAATAAACCTTAATTGGAGAAACAACATTTAATAAATAACATTTATTCTTTATGGAAATAAAAGTGAAAAGGGAAAAGGAAAAAGCAAAGTTACTTTTATCCGGATTCGTACACTATAATCACCATTGAGTGATTCACTATAAATCAGAAAAAGTGGTATGGAAGCATTTCTTCATACATTGAGATATATTGAACGGTTTATATTTGAATAAATTAATTGATTTTGAATAAAAAATTTATTAAATTCAATTTGAATAAATTAAGAAACCCCAGTTTTCGTGTGATCACCACTTTTCTTAAATAAATTTAAATAGAAATAAAACAAAATAAATTAAATTAAAAAGAAAACCACTAGTCTAGTAATATAGTTATATTAAACAACATTTGATAAAAATAAATGGAGAAAGAATTCATAAGGAATAAGTTTCTTTTCGCTTATAGCGAATCATCGACTGTAGTGGTTATATGGACAACGAGAATGTCGATGATTTAATAAACGTTAATTGGAGGAGGGTACATTAAATCGTGAAAGTCAGACGGAGGAAGACGTTTGAAGCGAGGATACAGTGGTAATGAGTCTGCTATTGGTCCCATCGCTGGTCCGGGGGCAGCACTTGAAACTCGTCGTTCGCAGCCATCGCGACGGAAACTCCCGTGCTTACCGAAACAAACTTCGGGGGACTTGAAGCTAGGCACCCCGAATGCTTTTTTTTTTCTCTCGCGACAAGCGGGGATACGAGATTTCGTGGCCGCGCGGCGTCGAGATGGCTATGCCAGAAGTGTCGAGCGTCCGTCAAAAATTCAGAATATTCACGTCGCCGTCGTGTGAGAGCCCTTCCGGCGCATACCGCGAGTCTTGAGAGCGGCTCGTACAAAAAATATGTGTAATTAAAACTCGACGCTCCGGGGGATGCTCCCGGTGGAAACGCGGAGGAAAGGGAAAACGAAAAGGGGCGAAAGCGAGACGGCTAAGAAGCGATAGAGGCATCCAGACGACGACGGGACCGGCGAAAGGTTAGAGGCGGAATAATCAGCAGTCGAGATCTCCGGTAATAACGATGTTAAGTCTCGAAACAGTCTCGCCCACAGACTTAACCCTTTCCCTTCTCTATCGTTCCATTCTCATATTTTTTACAAAATTTTAACAATAGTATCAGCGATTCTCGACGTGACAAATTTCCTTCTTCCTTTTTTCTGGAGAATACGTAGTGTTATATTATTATTTAAAAAGAATTTAAAAAGTTTCAGTGGTCGATCGAGTACTTGTGAGAAAGGTACCATGAGCGTAGCCCTCTAGCGGCGAGCATGGCAAGTGTCGTCCCAATATACCACTGTATTCGTTTGAATTTGCATTTTTTAAATGTGTTATTAACATTTCGTTAAGATAGATCGTTTTAATTTGTTAATGTTTTCGTATATTGATCGAGCAAATTATTCTCAACAATTTCATTGCATGCAGGTTACGGTGAAACGAATATATTATCATTTCTGGAGTAAGCCTGGACAATTCTCGCATGAATAGATGCTTTATTTTGATGGAAAATGGATCCACTTCCGGAGATGCGTTCCGCGTGTTTATTAATTCGTTTCTGTATCAAAATTTAATTAATTTCTGTTATTCATCTTACCATGGATAAATAATTTTCGATTTTACAGAGATTCCTGATTCCTGATTCCGACCCAAATTATTACATTTTCATTCTCCAATTGTCGACGAATTTTCGATTACATTTATAGTTGAAACCAGTATTTCCACGCGACTATAGTTCATACGAACGCTTGAAACGCCATCACTGGCATCTTCCGGAGACAACTTTCCACGTTGTTAATCAAGACTACACAAAAATATCGTGTTTTTTATAGAATCGATGGTCTTCCATAACTTTTCTTTTCGTAAAAAAACCATCCAGTGATCGATCAATTATGTATTTACAAAAGCACATTCGCCACGCGTATGTTCGTATCGAGTGTCGATGTCGATATATCGATACTGCTGTCTACGACGTTGATACATGGCACTCTTACTCGTAGATTTATTCGAATAACTTCCTTTCATTCGCAGTCCTTATTCGAAAATTATTCCGAAGGATTTATGCAACAAATTTTCTGTTATCGAATCTACTAACATAAGAATATTTCTTAATTTGCATAAATAATTTATTCGATAATAATAAATTTTATATCATCGAATAATAATAAATTTTATATTATCGAATAATAATAAATTTTATATTATCGAATATAGTGCCGTAAAAATGTATTTTTTTGCGTTTTTTATTAGAATAACATGAAGTTAAGTAAATTTTCTCGACTGACTGTAGAATGAGTTTACAATATTCTGTGTAATAATTTTTTAATTATCGTTTTTTTCGTCACAAGGGCTATTAACATTAATAGAAACTCTCTCGAATCGAGGGAAACACGAATTCCGAATTTAAGACGCGATGGAAATGCTCAAAGACAAATTATGGACTCTTTGAGGAGGTCTCAAAATGTCGAGAGGAAGTTTCCATGGAAAGGAATTGAAAATTATGGACAGAATAAACGATCCGTTAAGCCATCGAAGTTATCTGCTAAAGTTAAACGAGCGGTTTTGAGGGAAATTTCGCAAATGGGAACGTCGTCGTACCAAATTGCCAAAAGATTATAATTCTTAGAATATACAGTCACAACAATATAAAATGTTTGGAAAAATTGGAAACTCTAAGTATTATATCGAGGAAATGTTTGTTACAAAAATCACAAAAATCATCTTAGATAAATGCAAATTTTATCCAAGACTTAAAATTTACTTGCGGTAATAAGTTTGTTTATTTAATAAAAGTGCAACTTCACATTTCACACACGAAACGATGCATCTCCATTTTTCTTTCCCTATTTGGTTACAAAATAAAAATAAAATTTATTTGTAATCTCAGAATCTCAGTTGACTAAACAAAGAACCGAACAACAATGAAAATCCATTATTCACGAGTTATCAATTATTATTATTTGCAAAGATTATTTTTAAATTACGTCCAGAATTTCAATTTCATCCAGAGGTGTTCCATATTTTATTTCATTGCTTCTTTTCTTTATTTTATTTCCTATAGTCTCCATCGAAGCTGTATTTATAAATTTCCAATTTAAATGAAAATGATTTCCGGGTTTCTAAGTCTGGGCTTATACTAGAAGACTCATTAGTAAGGCAATTCTAGCAGGCTTTGCCTTAGATGCTAGAATATTCGATGGTCGATCGAGCACTTGCGAGAGAGACAGGAGTGTAGCCCTCTGGTGGCGAGCGCAGGAGTTACGACTTCCCTTTGTACCACAACCTCTGTAACTTTTTCATTTTTGCAAATTTTAATTCAATATTTTAAAGCAATTCTTGAAACCCCAAACATCAAATGAAGATCAGAAAAAATGTCACTTTATTTCTTAAATTTCCGGATTCCTGGGCCATTTAGCCCACCTCAGAGAATAGAAGGTGACAAATTACAGTTAGGTTTATTGCTGCACTTATAAATTTCCAATTTTCTATGTTTATGCAATGCAACCATGCGTGAAAATGATTCCCAGGTTTTTAAGTCTGGGCTTATACTAGGTGACTCATTAGTAGACTGCGGATGTTTATGCATTTATGGGGAATTTTAATTCTCAAGAAACTACAGAATGCACTTAATATTCAAAAATATAAGAAATACTTAAAGTAAGATACGAATTATTATATTTAAGGGTTGAGACAATCATCTACAAAGCTCCCATTTTATTAATTCTATTAATAAAAATATGAATTTGCATAAAGATTCGCAAGTCTACTCATTAGTAAAGCAATTCTAGCAGGCCCTGCCTTAGATGCTAGAATATTGGATGGTCGATCGAGCACTTGCGAGAGAGACAAGAGTGTGACCCTCTGGTGGCGAGCGCAGGAGTCACGACTTCCCTTTGTACCACAACTTCTGTAACTTTCTCATTTTTACAAATTTTAATTTAATATTCTAAAGCAATTCTTGAAACCCCAAACATCAAATGGAGATGAGAAAAAAATGTCACTTTATTTCTTCTTAAATTTTCACCTCAGAAAATAGAAGGTGACAAATTATAGTTCTGTTTATTGCTGCATTTATAAATTTCCAATTTTCTATGCTCTTGCAATGCAACCGTGCATGAAAATGATTTCTGGGTTTTTAAGTCTGAACTTATACTAGGGGACTCATTAGTAAGGCGATTCTAGCAGATCCTGCCTTAGACGCTAGAACATTGGATGGTCGGTCGAGTACTTGCGAGAGAGACAAGAGTGTGGCCCTCTGGTGGCGAGCGCAGGAGTTACGACTTCCCTTTGTACCACATCTGTAACTTTTTCATTTTTGCAAATTTTAATTTAATATTTTAAAGCAATTCTTGAGCCCCCAAACATCAAATGGAGATGAGAAAAAATGTCTTTCATTAATATCATTTAGCCCACCTCCGAGAATAGAAGGTGACAAATTACAGTTCCGTGTATTGCTGCACTTATAAATTTCCAATTTTTTATGCTCGTGCAAAGCAACCATGCGTGAAAATTACTTCCTCACGGAGGATCGTTATTTTGTGCTTTTCCAGTAGCTGGGGTTGTAGCCAGACGCCAGTAAAGAAGAGTGGTAAGCAAAATGTGCGACAAGCGTCTGTGCGCTTGTGAAAAGAAGCAGAAGGCGCGGACGATACCCGGCTTCATGGCTCTAGACGACGAGAGAGTGAAGGCCCTCGAGGATGCCTACTCGGAGTACGCGAAGATCGATAGCGGGTCTTTGTTGAAGAAACACTTGAGCCAGGCGATTTTCGATAACCTGAAGGCACGCGTGACCAGCAACGGATCCACCCTGATGGACGTGATTCAGTCCGGTTTGAAGAACCCGGACTCCCACGTTGGCATTTACGCCCCGGATCAACAGGCCTACGACGTTTTCGGCGATTTGTTTAATCCCGTGATCGAGGAGTATCACGTTAACTTCGCGTCCGACGACGTTCATCCTGATCTAGACTGGGGAACGCCCGAGGAGCTCGGCGATGTTGATCCCGACGGGAAGTACGTGATCTCGACGAGGATCCGTTGCGCCAGGTCGGTCGAAGGATATCCGTTAAATCCCACCATGACTAAGGCTCACTATATAGAACTGGAGAGAAAGGTATATAAAGATTGAAAAGCCGATTGTAATATGAACGGGGGGCATTCGATGCCACCGGGATAGAATTCGATTTTAACGCTTGTACGGTTGTCGTAAAAAAGATCGCTCGATCTTTTCTGGCTGGGGGGGGGGCCTTCCTTTTGGTCCAAACTCAACACCGTGTTTCATCAATCCCTCTGTTCTGGGGTTTATTTATTATGCTGTCTGAGATCCCACAGGATTATTAATGATAGAAATTTATACCTAAAATATCACCAGTCCACCCTCTCACTCGAGCACTGACAATTGATCCAGACTGTTCATAGTTAAAGGGTCAATAATAGTTATTATAATTATAATTGAATGAAAGAATGCTAGATATACGTTGAGTCAGCAAATCGAAGCAATGAAAACTAAAAATTAGTTATGAATACAAATAATGATTGACAAAAAAAAATAATCAGTAAATCAATTTTATACCTTATGTTCATAGCTTGAATGAAATCATTTGAACTTGTTTGAACTTGTTTGAATGAACAATTTCAGCTTCAGAATTACTTTTTTCTTCTATTTCAATTCAATTTTAATAATTTATTTTATGTTTTTCCATTAACAAAAATTCCAGAAAATCGTTTAAAAGTAAAATACAAAAGTAAACATTATTTTTTGCTTACTCAGTATTTCTCTCATTTATTTGACTATGTCTGCATTTTACTAATATTTTCGAGGACAAAACACTTTCAACAAACGAACATTTTTCACTCTTCTGCACTTTTTTCGCCATTTTCTAAATATAATTAGCAACGCTGGTAATACCTGATCGAACAGTTTAAAAAGTTTGAGAACGTTGGATGGCAACGTTGAGGACCCAATTATATTTGTTTTGAATGCATATTTGTGCAGCGGAGTTCGTCGTTGCGAGGTCTCGTTTAGAAGTTGCAACGTTGAAAGAGCTTTTTGAACGTCCTATTGGCATTCTACTTACAAGCTTTAGACGATGACCTTTCAGTTTTGGCGCTTTTCAGAATTGTAAAAGATGTGGAAAAGGTGTGGGGGAAAAAGGGTGGGAATTTGTAGATGAGCACGAAACGTGAAAGACTGAATTCTCACGTTATATCGTCCGCTGCCAAAAGAGATGCTTTCTGAGAATCATATTTCGTACACTGATATTTGCAATGGTTGGTTCATTCGATTAGAATGTCGATTTGATGGATAAACGTCGAGGAAAAGTGGTCGAAGAATCTTGTTAACATTTTGTTTATTTAATTTCTTCGATAATGGAACGAACGGGAAGCGTCGACAGCGAAACTAATAAAACAAATTAATGAAGAAATTGAGAGAAAAATTACTGCGGGGGAGAAAATTGGTGGACATTGAACGATCGATTGTAAATTGAATGAAGCCTGTGGTGCCGGGAAGTTATTTCCGTTAAAGGAAGAGAAAACACACAACTTTTATTGGTTCACATTTTACATTATTAAATATAAAAGGAAAAGGTTTAGATTCTTCGAAATTCATTTTCACTGAATTTCTATGTAATACTGTGGCAAATAGTATAAATAATATAAATAATTTATGAATTGTTTGACGATGAAGACGAAATACAGATAAAAATTGGGCCACTTTCAAATTCATCCAAATTTATTGTATTTTTATCCAACTTCATACTCTGGTGAATCATCCAAATTTATTGTATTTTTATCCAACTTCATACTCTGGTAAATCATCCAAATTTATTGTATTTTTATCCAATTTCATAGTTTGGTAAATCATCCACATTTATTGTATTTTTATCCAACTTCATAGTTTGGTAAATCATCCACATTTATGGTATTTTTATCCAACTTCATACTCTGGTAAATCATCCAAATTTATTGTATTTTTATCCAACTTCATACTCTGGTGAATCATCCAAATTTATTGTATTTTTATCCAACTTCATACTCTGGTAAATCATCCAAATTTATTGTATTTTTATCCAACTTCATAGTTTGGTAAATCATCCACATTTATTGTATTTTTATCCAACTTCATACTCTGGTTAATCATCCAAATTTATTGTATTTTTATCCAATTTCATACTCTAGTGAATCATTCAAATTTATTGTATTTTTATCCAACTTCATACTCTGGTAAATCATCCAAATTTATTGTATTTTTATCCAATTTCATACTCTGGTAAATCATCCAAATTTATTGTATTTTTATACAACTTCATACTTTGGTAAATCATCCAAATTTATTGTATTTTTATACAACTTCATACTTTGGTAAATCATCCAAATTTATTGTATTTTTATCCAACTTCATACTCTGGTGAATCATACAAATTTATTGTATTTTTATCCAACTTCATACTCTGGTAAATCATCCAAATTTATTGTATTTTTATCCAACTTCATACTCTGGTTAATCATCCAAATTTATTGTATTTTTATCCAATTTCATACTCTAGTGAATCATTCAAATTTATTGTATTTTTATCCAACTTCATACTCTGGTAAATCATCCAAATTTATTGTATTTTTATCCAACTTCATACTCTGGTGAATCATACAAATTTATTGTATTTTTATCCAACTTCATACTCTGGTAAATCATCCAAATTTATTGTATTTTTATCCAACTTCATACTCTGGTTAATCATCCAAATTTATTGTATTTTTATCCAATTTCATACTCTAGTGAATCATTCAAATTTATTGTATTTTTATCCAACTTCATACTCTGGTAAATCATCCAAATTTATTGTATTTTTATCCAACTTCATACTCTGGTGAATCATACAAATTTATTGTATTTTTATACAACTTCATACTTTGGTAAATCATCGATACTACAAACAATTATGAATTGTATGATTATGAGGATAGAATATGGGTCAAAATTGACCCACCTTCATCGGTAAAATGTTAAATAGTATGTCGAAGAATGTATATCTATATATACATATAGCAATGGAGGGGTCGATCGAGCGCTTGTGAGAGCGCGACGCCTCTGGTGGCGAGTATGGGAAGTGACGCCACATGTATACGGTTTTATTAGAAATGTGTTTCGAATATTCGTATATTTGGTCTTGTACTAACTTCATTGGCAATAATTAATCAACTAAAAGGTCTAGCATTGTTAGAAATAGAAGTAAATCATTTCACGTACATTAAGAGCGGGAAATTTGAATTGTGTAAAAAGGACCGCCACATTTCCAACAGTCCAATGCATAAGAAACAATGCAAATTATGACGAAAGTGTAATTATTCGCGTGTTCGTAGGTGTCTGATTGATTTCTGTCAGTTCAGGAGGTCCCCGTTTCGTTAGGAAAGATAATTGCTTCTTTAAATCGCGTTTTATCCCGGTGACAACGAACAGAAGTGTATAAATCGTCGACAAACTGCTGAAATGGCGTCTCTAATCTGTTTACGCCGTTGAATTCGTACTTCTAGGTGCGAGAGGCTTTAAATTCGTTAGAAGGCGAGCTGAAAGGAAGTTATTACACGCTAGCGGCGATGGATAAAGAGACACAACAGCAGCTCATAGACGATCATTTTCTGTTCAAAGAGGGCGATCGATTCCTGGAGGCGGCCAACTCCAATAGGTTCTGGCCAGCTGGTGAGTAATGATCAACCTCTCTTTCGTCGCTGACTTTCCCGGGAACTTCGTTCGATCGCCCGGCGACGGCGTTAAAACTATTCGAAATTTATCATTCGACGGACTTTCCCGGGGCGAATTGAAAGTGATTTCAATCGCAACGTTCCCGCGCGGTGTGCGTTTCATAAACTGCGGATTATAGTCAACCGTGACACCGAAATAACTATAAACTGTTCGTACGGGTACCTTGATCTGTACTTAAAAGTCAGCTTTAAACTTGAAATTACTTTAAACCGACTGTAGTTATCTTCTTCGACCTCTTTGCTCCTGCTTTTACGAACCATGTATTATTAACAGGAAATCCGTGAAACTTTAACGGGATTATTTGCCACTCTTTTCAGCAGAACCGACGCGTTCGTAAGGGATAAGGGAAAAGTATTTGTTAGGGATTTCACGGAGACGAATGGACGGGTTTGCAATGGCGGACATTTTGCTTAATTCCTTAACGCATGATTTTTCTCGACAAAATCGATGACCTTTTATTTAAGGTCTGATTAGCAGCTAAGATGTTATATATATGAATATTTTTTAAAAAACCTCCTGCCATTTTTAAATCGTTTCAAATCGGTGAGACAGATTGTCAATATTGTAAAAAAGTTCACGAGCAGCTTGGAAGATCTTAAAATAATGAATATACCTTATAAAAATCTAAAGATTTAAAAAATTTATGGAAAATTGAAATTTTGTCAAGATATAAAATGTCTCGAATTTCAGACTTCATTTTTTTTACTTTCAAGTTCCAAAAAGGAGTTTAAACAATGCCTGAAATATGCAAAAATATTCTCGGAATATTCGTCAAGCGTAATCTTTTTGATTTTATTTGTTTCGTTCTTGTCTGAAAATATTCTAAAATGTGACCTTGTTTACGGTACAATTTCGATTTAAATGTCAAATGTCAATTAGGTTTTTCGTCATACGTAGTCGTGCACTGGTCGTACAACAGCTAACAGGTGAAACTTGTTTTATTCGACGAGAGTTCGCGTAAAACATTCAATTACAATGCTTGAAGTTCCTTCAGCTCGTTTGAAAACATTAATCCCCGGTAAGCTAAACGGTCGAAATTGGGGGTTCAAGTTTAAACGAAGATTAAGCCGAAAGTTTATAGGATTAAGGCACATTCGGCGGAGGACAGGTTAATGAAATGGCGAGTTGACGAACGCTGCGATTCTAACAGCGATTTTTGCGCCACTGCATTTCGAAGTCAACGAGAAAAGTGGCCATTTTGTTCTCAAAATTAAAGAACAATGCAATTATCTCTATAAATCAACAAAAATTCCAAATCATTTATCGAACAAACTCAATACTTTGATCATAAAAAGTGATTTTCAATGGTATTTTTACTAACTATAGTGTTTTACATTTTCTGTAATAGTTTTTATTAGTGGGATATAATTTAATAAATTTTGAGACCTGTAGCTAATTTATTAAATTACTTTCTCATTGTTGGATTAATATTTGAGATCAACCAAGTGTAAAAATTAGTTTACTTTCGTTGCTAATGATCAAGTAATTCATTCATCTTTAAATTATGTTCCTGAAAAACAGAAATAAATAGTTCCATGTCGTTATTATAATGTACGTTTCTAATAACACTTTTACTTCTAAAGTTACTTTCAAATTTGGAAGTTCTGGACGTCTGATATAGAGAATAATAAAATTTACAAAATTTAGTTGTTCAAGGGACATTTTCAAAGCTAGAAATATACACTTCCAACTCGTATTCGTACAATGTTGATTCACTATAAATGAAAAGAAAAGAAAATTGTTTCCTAATGAATTGAGTTATTTTTTAAATTGGTACAAAATAAAAATAATACTTATGAACAGTAGTGTTACGTTGTAAAGATTGTATATTAAATAAAAAACACAACAAAACTACTTTGTAAATAAAGAAAGGTTAACACTAGTGTTAAGGTTCCTTGATGTAGTAGCCTAGCGGACAAATCGGTAACTAAATCTTGATCAAAATGGCGCGACGATAGCCGATCACTCTCACGGAACGCCATTTTATGGGAGAAACGTCATGAAAGAACACGTGTTAATAAAGTCATTTTGTTTCAAATTTTTCACGTTTTAAAGTAACCATAGTTGTAGTTAAACAACATTTGGTAAAAATAAATAGGAAGAATTCATAAGAAAGTTTCTTTCCACGTATAGTGAATTGTAGTCTACTTATACACTATTATAGTATTAATGGAAAAAGAATTCACGTTTACAGTGTACGCGTTTAGCATTTTCAGAATGATCGGATTTCTTACTTGCGCTAAAAGCGTACGGTTCCTTCAAACCCCAACCGAAATGCAAACTCGAAAATGTCGCGACCAATGACTGGCTTGTGGTTTCGTAATATGCCAGAAATCCCCCAGCCAAGGGTCACGTGATTAAGTGAATTTGCATTAGCGATTTTCATCACGATGGCCTTGGGAAATCTCTTTGCTGAAACTGCTCGAAAGGGTTAAGTATATTAAACGGCTTAAGACACATATCCAAGAGAAAGCGATTCAAAGAGAATTTTCGATAGCAACCTAAACTCATTGTCCTTGTCCCTCGTCCCGAAATATAGTATTTTAATCTCTTACCCAGACTTTGTTTACGATGTTAATACACGCTTTCGGTGCGTGGGTGTACTCCATTGTTATTTTCTCCATATTAGCCATCAGTTGTAGTTGTGGCTTCTATCGCTTCTTGGTGCTTCAAGCTTTCATCAAGATTTTAATTTATATTATTTATTAGCACCTTCTGATTCGTTTCTTTGATACATTCAAAGATACATTCAATACATAACAAAGACATAATTAAAGTAAAACTTTTCAAAAAAGAGTTACTAATAAGGATAAAATTTAAGACTCATGGAACATTTTTAATACGTCTTTTTCTTTAACTATATCTTTGTTGTTCAAGTATAATAGTTACAGAATTACTCTCAGAGTTTAAGTTTAACCTATATTTATTGTTTAAGGCTTCAATAGAGGTATTTCGAATTCTTTTGCAAATCCCCCAAAAACTTTGTAGGAACAATAGTTACGTGCTGGTTTTTCCGTACCGTGTCAAACAGATATATCGTAATCGAACATTTTGTTCTCTGGTTCCGATTGCTATCCACGGGAAACTATCCATTTTGTTTCTTTGATCTGCTCTAATAACAGTTGGCTTTCGTTACTGGCTGGCGTTGCTTGTTATTAGGTTGCTGCGAAAGGTTTTTCGTATTTGTCAAATAAAAGTGGAAACCGAACTGCACGGGGCTCAAAATTATTTTGATTAGTCGAAACAACCACTAGGTGGCTTCCATATATTTTTCCATTTCGAAACACGTCTTTCAGATATCAAAAATCCACTTCTTCGAACTTTTCGAATGATAATTCATTTGGAAATATCATACCATTTCTAAATAGCACGTTCAAAATTAGTTTCCTCCATCGAATGACGTATATGACAGCTCCTAATAAGTCACTGCCAAATTTAAACTGGTATATCTTGAGAAAATAAATTTGGAGATGATCTGGAATTTAAAGCTCCAGGACGAGTGAATTATTTTTAATAAAATTTGATAATTGATTTAAAATGAAGGTTAAATCAACCTAATATTTACGTACGATCGGTACTCTTAGGCGAAATTATTTTTCACCGTTTTCAGATAATCGAATTACGAAGGCACAGACTTCGTTTCGTTCGTTGTTGCTTTGTCTCGTTAATCTTTCTTTACTTAGCCAGATTGATTTCAATCGAACTTTTCATTCCATTAAACGTTTCAACAGAATTCTCGCTAAGATCCTCCGCGAGGGGTTGCACGCTCCCCTAATTTAGACAAATTGTTTTATACCACTTATAATCATTTTAATTATCAGAATTTCTTCTGCTCTCATAAAAACTATAAAACAATCTCTGTTGAACGAGCATACTATACAGTGTCAGAAAATGTTTGTTTTTATTGGTGCAGTGAGTAAAAACAAGCACACCAGGATTAAAAAGAGATAGTTTATTTAGTATAAACATATGGTAGGAACAATGTGTTGGTAATAATCAATATTAATAACATTAAAGTATTATCATTATAAGCTGAGACGATGAGGGCGCCGCCTAGCGGTGGGACTCAATAACACGCGTTTTCTAGTGTTTTCTTCACGCGTTCGAATTATAACTAGTCCACAGTTTTTGTTACAGAAAATTTAGCATTTAAAATTCAATTATTGGGTATTTTTGTAGCTTCAGCTTTTATTACAAAAGTGTCAGAGATTACGTGTGGAATTTTTACTGCAAAAGTTCCATCAGTAAACGCAGGACTTAAGCAAATAACGGCTCGAAGGGAAGTTTCTTGCTAGTTTGCCCGACAAACCTTCATGCAGCGCCTCGTCGAAGGCTTTTTCAACAATAAAAAACACCGCGGTGCTATATTTTTTTATTTTCAGACACTTTCGAAATATTCTCAACAACTCTATGCATCTGTTTTTATTTTTTTTGGAAACTAAATCAATCAAGTATTCATTTTTCGCCTTCAAAATGTGCAATTTGAACAGCTTTATTTTGCTGGAGAAATTAGTTTTGGTTTTTATTTCATTCTTAGCAAACTGTAGAAGACACTGAAAAAATTACTATTATTAAAACTGTAGAAGACACTGAAAAAATTACTATTATTAAAACTGTAGAAGACGCTGATAAAATTACTATAATTACTTCGTTAAGAATTATAGAATATTTGCAAACGAGAACGATAAAATATATTTCTTCTTCGAAAAAAATTTTCAAGACCATTTATTACATTTTTGGGATCCACTATTAAATTATTATAAAATTATATTTTTCAATGATAACGACTAATAGACGCCATTAAGACACTGTATGGCCAACAAATTTATGACGTAAATTCACATTTCACCGAAATCAGTCGACATGTAATTATGTAATATTCAAAATTTTGATATTAGGTTGCTGAACACGAAGCGGTGAATTTCACCGACTGACGT